TCCTGGTTTAAAGGAGTTACATTTCTCAACCCGTTTTGCACAGAATGGTTGGGAACAGTTCAAAGCTTGTTTGTGGAAACAACACTGGTCCTATTGGAGAAACCCTACATACAACTTGATGCGCCTATTGTATGCATTTATCTCATCCATTCTGCTTGGCTTGGTCTATTGGCAACATGGAAAGAAGATGTAAGTCAATGTAACTCCATTAAGTTTGTTTTAATCAATCCCTAACCTAAAGATCAAAAGAAACATGGTAAGAAAATTGCAAATCAAATTTTTGGTTTGCCTTAATACAGAGAGGACATCTTGTTGAAACAAACTGTTCTTGACCCATTCAGACTTTACTCCTCATACAGTTATGCACATACACCTCCAACTTTCAAATTTGAAGTTTGAAGAGTCAAGACTTTCTTACCCACTAATGTAATTTTATTTTTCGTTTTTGAAGAAACAACCAACAGGATTTGTTCAATTTGCTTGGTGCGATGTTCACTGCTGTGATCTTCTTGGGTATAAACAACTGCTCATCAGTTTTACCTTCTGTTGCGATAGAGCGCACTGTCATGTACAGAGAAAGATATGCAGGAATGTACTCTTCAACGGCCTACTCATTAGCACAGGTTCCAACCTTTCTTAAAACTCGTTAAATGAACCTGCTCCAACCCATATTTGACTTTATATGGTTGAATGAAAAATCTTTTGCTGGAGCCTAGAGCTCATTCAAGCTCACAAGCTTCTTATGACATGGATTCTGACATTATTATCTTTTCATATATATATATATATATATATATATATATATATATATATATATATATATCCTTTTCATCTTACATGAACTTGGAATTTAATTTTGGGCAGATGGCAATTGAACTTCCCTACATATTCATCCAAACACTCGTGTTTGTGGTCATCACATACCCGATGATTGGTTACTATGGTTCGGCTTATAAGATTTTCTGGTTCTTCTATACCATATTTTGGACGATACTCTGCTTCAATTACATAGGAATGCTTCTTGTGGCAGTGACCCCAAATGTTCAGGTGGCTGCTATATCGACGTCTCTCTTCTACACCATGCTCTTTCTGTTTGCTGGGTTTGTGATACCCAAACAGGTAAGCCAGCAGTTTTAGTTTTATGCTGATTTTTCTGGGTATCATGATGAAAAGAGTTACTAGTTATGAGATATCATTAATCACAATATATATTAAGTCATTGTTTTTATACTTTTTGTTCAAATGCTACAATTTCAATTCCATCACAACTTCCATTATATATACTTGTTTGTTGAATTAACACATTTGGATATCATAACGTGGCAATGTTACAAGTACATCAAGAGAAAAATGTGTATTAAAATAGTTAGTTAAGACTGATCCAACTGTGTTGTGCCTTCTTGCAGCAAATTCCAAAGTGGTGGATTTGGATGTATTACCTGTGTCCCACATCTTGGACAATAAACGGTCTTCTCACTTCACAGTATGGTGATATAAACAAGGAGATTCTAGTATCTTCTGGTGAAACCAAAACGATTGCTGCTTTCTTAAGAGACTATTTCGGGTTTGACCATGATAATTTGGGCATCGTAGCTGTTATTCTTATTGTCCTCCCCCTCTTCTTTGCATCCCTTTTTGCTCATTTTACAGGGAAACTAAACTTTCAGAGGCGATGAATAAGAATCTGAAGGATCCATGTCAACTAGCTTATCCACCCAATAGAATACAATTGTGGTTTGTTTATTGAGACATGTTTAACATGTTAAATTCAGCCTTCTAACCATTTTAATTGGTTTTTTACCGTAATGTTTCGATTTCCTTTTGGTTTCTCCTCTATGGTCAGTTGCTCATAGCATTAAGAAGGCTGAATTCAAGATTCAAGTGTCTAACAGGCTTTGTGGTGAAGCTTCTTTTAAGTTTCTGTTTGGGAGGGCTGAAGTGCAGCAGCTTCTAACTTTCTGAGGTGGGTTCTACACCGACAGCCTATAAGCTATGTTTGATGAAAGATACGGAGAGTCCAAATCTTCTGTTAATCAGTTATTTAGTGTCTGCTTCAATTTCTTTGAATAGCTTATTTGAAGTGCTTAAGAGAGCAACTGAACCAGCTTAGTGGAATTTTCAGCTCATGATCATTGAAAGCAGCTCAATCAAAGCTTTGGCCTTCCAAACGGGCACTAATATTTCAACTATTTTGAGAGAAACCGAGAAAGCATTAAATAGCTGGTGTTGTTCTTTGTTGGGTCTGACTATTTTGGAATTTTAGATTTGGATGTAATCCGTCGAATTAAAATTTATTATATAAAGTTTATAAATAGTAAATTTAATATATGGGAATTATTAAGAGTAATTAATTTTTTCAACTATTTTTAAAATCCCATTTTCTTTATTTTAGTGATGATAATAAAATGAATTCATACAGGTTTGAAGTTTCACTAATCATATTGTTGGATTTGGATGTGGCTGGATCCATCCCCATTACACGTTTACAATCTACTCAGAGAGTTCAACTTTTAGAACTAAGTAAGCTCTAGACCGGGAGTGCAAATGTGCTACTCACAAATAGATGTGTAAATTAGGCATGTTCATGGGCCGGGTTGGGCCGGGCTTTTACTCTTTATTAACAGAAAAATGTTAGGCCCGAGCCCGAGCCCGGCCCGACCAACGGGCCTACAATTTGGGCCTGAGCCCGGCCTTGATAAAAAGCCCGAAGCCCGAGCCCGAGCCCGAGCTTGAAGCCCAACCTAATAAAAGAAATTCAAATTTTTCCCTATTCAAATGGACATTATCTATTTTAATTCAGAAGTTTTATTCCCCTATTTAAATGAACAATGGGCCTACAAGTGAATCAACAACCTTCTTAAATCAAAAAATTTATTCAAATGGACATGACATAGGGTTTTTACTTAGGTTTAACTATAGGTTGGGCCGGGTCGGGCTCGGGCCAGGCTATTTTGGCAAAGCCCGAGCCCGGCTCAAATTTTATGCGGGCCGGGCTTTTTGGCCCGAAGTTAAGCCCGCGGGCCAAAAAGCCTATTCAAGCCCGTCCGGGGGCCGGGCCGGGCCGGGCTGGCCCGTTGGGCCACCTGGCCCATGAACAGGTCTCGTGTAAATTGGGCCGGCATGGCCCAACACAATTTTGAGCCGGCCCGACATGATGGATTGCGGGCTGTGTTAGGCACGGCATCATCGTTGACCTATATCGTAGCCCATATATATATATATATATATATATATAATTTTATTATATTATTGCATATATAAACAATTGTATACATCCAAATTCATATAAAATAAAATTTTAAGATCCTTTTTTTTAAGTTTTTGTCTATCATTTTAATTTATGTTAAATTTTTTCATTATTTCTTTTCAAAATTTTTAAAAAACATGGTTTGGCCCAATCTGCAGCCCAACCTGGCCCAAGGCTTGGCCCGTGGACCAACCCAACCAGCAGTACGACACGGCATGGCATGGGCCCACACAGGCTCGGGTTGTGGACCGTGTCGGGAGGGAAGCATGGCCTGACTCGGCCCATGGGTCAGCAGGACACGGCCCACACTTTGCATGAGCTACACACGAGGTGTGTCGTGCTGACCCAGCACAGCTCGGTTTAGGACTTGCGTTTTTTTCAACTTAGGTGCTTATTCCAATAACATGGGACAATTCAGTCCCTAGTTTTTTTAATCCCCGTTATACCCCCGTGCGAGGGTTTTCTTCCTTTTTCTTCCATTCAAATGCAAGAGACGCAAGGGCGGTGCACAAACCACCTTGGCGATTGACAACGACCAACAATGAGAAAAAAACGACCGACGAACCAATTGTTTTGTCATTGTGTATCGTATTATGCATTTTTTTCTTTGACTTGAACTAGTTTTGTGGGTTTTCTTAATGCTTGAAACTCCTCTCTTTTTTGTATTCTCATATCTGTTTTGGGTGAGTTTAATGGAGATAACCCACCATCCACACATCAACAAACGAAGATTAGTTTGCCCAAACGAACCCCCTTCCATGTTTAATGTTGTTTTTTGGTTTTTTTATGAATATTTAGCTAAAATGATTTTTTCAAATTTTCATAGATGAGAAATTCGAAATATTTATGTTGGGTGTTTTTGTGCATTGTCTGTGTGATAATTCCTATGGATAAGTAGGATTTTTTGGGCATGTTTTGTTGAAAACCATGCAAAAAATATGTGGTCATAGAAATTTTCTTGACTTTTTTGTACGAATAATTAGTTAAATGTTTGCATTTTTCTTGATTTGTGATTGCATTTTTTCTTTATTTTTTATATGAATATTTGTGATGTTTTTATATTTTGTTGTAATTAATAATTAGTTAAATGTTTGCATTTTTTCTTTATTTTTTATATGAATATTTGTGATATTTTTATATGTTGTTGTAATTAATAATATGGAGAAGATGTTTGCATTTTTTTATTGATTTGTGATTGCATTTTTTTCATGAATTTTTACTTGAATATTTGTTAAATTCACATTGTATTTTTTATTTGTTAAATATGGTGGTGCTTTTTTAACTTTTTTGAATAATCCAAATTTTCATTTTTTGATTTATTATTAATATGTATAATAAATTTTATCCTATTTTATTTTTCAACTCATCATTGCATATTGGTGATGTTTTTGTATTTTATTTTTGAATAATCAGAATTTTCATTAATTATTTTATGATAAATATGCATCCTATTTTATTTTTTAAAATTCTTATTGCATATTGGTGATGTTTTTATTTTTTTTAATAATCCAAATTTTCATTTTTTGCTTTATTGATAATATGCATAATAAATTTTAGCCTATTTTATTTTATTTTTAATTCTCATTGCATATTGGGTTGTTCTTTATATTTTTTGAATAACCCGAATTTTCATTTATTTATTTATTATTAATATGTATAATAAATATTATTCTATTTTAGATTTTCAAATTCTCATTGCATATTGGTGAATGGTGATGTTTTTTATATTTATTTTGAATAAACTGATTTGTTATTAATATGTATAATAAATTTTATCCTATTTTATTTTTGAAATTCTCATTGCTATTATTATTATTATTATTATTATTATTATTATTATTATTATTATTATTATTATTATTATTATTATTATTATTATTAATTGGGTCCACGTGACACTCCACGTGTGGTCTCACGTGGGCTCTCATGTGTTACGATGTGGTGATGTGGTGATTTTTTATTGAAATGTATAGTATAATATGTGAAAAACATTGTTTATATGAATGAATAAAGCAAGGGGCTAAAATTGTCATTTATGCTAACATAAGCACTTGTGGGGAAGTAGCTCACCAAACATCCCCACCCGAATAAGTGTTTAATGAACACAATAAGTTATTTGACACATGAGCAAGGTTCAAAATTCAAAGTATTGGAAACGTAAGGTGTATGGGAAAGACAATTTTAAGAAACATATTGGGATACGTTTTAGATATGCATGGATACAGACAAAAAAATCAAGATACGCATAAATATGATAGGAAATTCAAATAAATCATAAAAAATATATTAGTAGCAATACATACAAGTTTTATATGATTGTAAATAAGCCATTTAAATGTAAAAAAAAGAAAACCATATTTTAATGTTTATATAAAACATGACATATCAAGATATAATTAGTACCCGTTGAAAAATGATGAAATAACTAAAGTGTGAAAAAAACAAAAAAAAACTAGAATATGAACATATATACATCAATTTTCAAATAACCAATATAATTTATCTTAATATTTATTAGTATATAAATTTTAATAATTAATTTCAGTATTTATTAATAGTCACCACTAAGAAAAGATAAAATTTACTTAAAACTAAAAATGTATATAATTATAACAAGCAAATTGGAATGGCTTAGTGGCGAAGTTATGGGCGTTAAAATCTAGTGACCAAGGTTCAAGTCTTTATATTGTTAACATTTGTAGTTTTCATATTAACGAAATGAAATTAATGAGAGAGAGGATCATTAATTAATTGAATTAATGAGAGAATTGGAATTAGGTGCTAAAATTTAAATGTCTTAAATATAGGACTAATTAGCTAATTAATGAAGGAAAAGTTAGACATAAATATAGTAGTAACACATGGCATTAATGAGAGAGATGTGGTAACCAATGTCAAAATCTTCGCCCCTGGGATAAGATCCAGGGCCTTTGACATCTTCTTTGTCTAGGTTGGACCCGTCGGCCTCAGACACCAAAAATTAGGTTGGACCCGTCAGCCTCACCCACCCGTCGGAAGCCACAGACAACACAGAAGGTGATCCACCCATACCCCACTAATCTAGCGCTTAGGCGGCCTAAAGGAGGCCAACCCCTCGGCTCCCCAGCTAAGGGGGCAACCCCATGGGGTCCCACACCAAGCGTAGAAACCACGACCGTCAACACCGTCGCGTGGCAACCATCCAAGATGACAGCGGGCACTCGAGCCACTATAGTCCTTCTCCAGGGACAGGAGGCCAGCGCCACACCTTTCCCCCACCGGTTTTCGACCTCCGTGACCTCCTCAATGATCGTTGCACCCGCAAGGCTTAGGATGTTCCAGTGTCCAAGCACTCCAGGAATAGGGTCGGACTGTCTTGTGTAAGAGAGAACTAGGACCAAGTCGAAGCAACGATGCCATACATCGACCAGTGCCTCAAAGATATTCAGGCACACATTGGCACCATTCAAGATCAACTTCGACAAGTATAGGAGGGTTGAGGTGACGCCTCCACCAGTTGCCATGCCTCATTCGGTTGGATGGAGGCCTTCGTGGATTCCATTATCTTCAAGCCCCTCCCGCCCGAATTTCAAGGCCCCAACATTGGAGACCTATGATGGGAGTATAGACCCCGAGGACCACCTAGAAAGCTTCTAGGCCCTCATGCTCCTACACAGATACTCTAATGCCCTCATGTGCCAAGCCTTCCAAGCCACATTCAAGGGAATAGCACACCGGTGGTTCTCGACACTGCCTCCACACTCCATCGGCTCTTGGGACTAGTTCGTGGACCTCTTCCTAGGTCACTTTGTGAGCAGCCAACGGTGTCAGAAAACCATCACTTCCTTAATGTCTGTTAAGAAGAAGTGCAGGGAAAGCTTAAAGTTGAGTTCTTAAAGAAGGTCCAAAAGTACATTGTTGCCAAAGAGGCCACAGCTAGCAAATGCCTCCAAGATCCAGAAGTAGGGCCTAGTGACAAGAAGAGGAAGGAAATGGATGGTCATGGTGTCGGCCCCACCAACAAGGGTGGTGAGAAGA